GATTGGGATTGGTATATGCAGTGACAGTTGTGATGTCTTCCTTTCGTGAAGAATTCTTGTTGAACGGTTTGACTTTTTTGTGCCACGCAGTCGTCAAAGACAATCAAGTTCCTTCGGTGGTTGTCGATTTCAGACAAGTCTAAATCGTTGACGTTTGTAGTCAGAAACACTTTGACGTCGGTCGGTTTCAGAGAAGGATTCTTTTCTTTGATAAAACCGTCTAAAATGTCTTTTATTTCCGCGTTCTCTTGCAAGTCTTCGGTGCTTTCGTAGCAGTGAAAAATGTCTTGAACTTCTTCTTTCGAGACGTATTCCAAAGCTTTGAGAAACTGATAATAGGATTGTTCGGGAGTAGTCGTGTAAATATACAGAGACTCGAAATCTAAAAGGTTCGGTGTTGTCAACATGTTAAAAGTGAGGTAAGTCTTTCCACAACCCGAAGATCCGCAAATGCACCTGAGCATGGGGTTGCTAGGAAAAATCCACCTTTTTTAGTTAAATTTTGATAAATTCTTTCCAAGTCTATATCGTCTCTGACTTTGCAATGTTTGTATTTATCGATAATCTTTTGGGTTATATGCACTTTTTTACTGTTGTAAGTTATTAGAGTTGGCGAATTCGTTTCGATAGCTTCTATTATTTTCATAACTTAAGTTCTGGTTTCATTTTTAAAGGGTGTTTTTTATTCAATTCTTATCATTCTTCTATCTGATATTTTAATCAAATGTTTTGCTTCTTCCAGCAATAAACAGTAACCGGTTACATCTCCTTGTGTTTTTTCAATGTGAATATTTATGTTTACCCCTGTTTTGAAAAGATCTTCTTGATGAGCTGACAAGATTGGATGATTGAGTGAAAAATCTGTGTATTCAAACTGAGGAGTATTTCCAAACAATTCGCACATGTTTTTATAGTTTCTGTACAATTCGTTGTAATCTTTTTTGGAAGGATCAATTGTCAAAGGTTGATTGGGATAATTATCGTTGTTCAATCTGACTTGAACTTTGCGAATGATGGGGTCTTGAGTATGGTTCAATGCCACTCTGAAAATGTTGTTGTTGTTTGTCTGCGAGTCTGGTAAGTTTTTGAAACCGACCATTAGATATCTCGCTGGTTTGACGGTGTTGGTGATTGGCCACGTGGTGGATTCTCCCATTAAAGTCATGCTACCTACCGTGTTACGACGAAGAAAAGCAATTTCGATGTCTTTGGTTAAAGAGTTGAATATTCTCGTTTCCACTTCTACGGAAGGAGTGATTACCGGTATGTAAAGTTGGATATTCGTTATTTCCAATTTTGCGTCAGAGTTGTTTTCACCAAAGAATATCTTGTTGTCGTTGATTTCTCTTTGCAAATGAATTTTATACGGCAAACCTATGGAAACCTTTCTGTGTTCCAAGAGACCAAATAAAGGATACAACTTCCAATTTACGTAATTACCCCATCTGTTGTTCTCGACAACATTGTTGTATTGAAGCGCTCGTTTCTCAAATCCGTGATTTACTCCGCGAGACACTCTTTCCAGTGTGTTTCTAGCAACTACCCTTATCCTAGCAAGGTCTGCGTCATTTGCTACAGTTCTGACCGGGTCTTTTAAATCTTCTCCGTCACCGACATCGGGAATCCATCCCGAAACTGAATCGTAGTTTTTGGGATACAGAACCGTTTTCAACATTGTGTCAAACTCGCCGGGGTGTTTTATGGTCTCTATCGGATTTGAACCAGCTTCCAAAACCATTTCGCTTTATAAAGACGGAAAGAAGTTGTTTTCTAAAGTCATGTTGGTTTGTGGAATTCGATTCTGAGTGGCGTCTTTGATTTTGAAATCGCATCGGAAATGGGCATCGGAAAGCAGCAACCAATTGGACAACGAATTAATTTCAAAGGTAACTCTTCCTCCGTCGTTTATTTGGGTCTTTGTCCCTACCGATGGTGAGATGATTACGTAATCCTCTTTCTTTTTGTTGAACGAATATTGAATCGGATCATACAATTGAAAGATTGGATCCAATCTGTAATTTTTGCTTGCCATTTTTATCCAATGATTTTAAACCCTTTTCCTTGTTTTTCTAGGGCTTGTCGTTCTAGTCTCTTGTTTCTTAGTTCTCTTATTAGCTGCAGTTGTTTAAGTTCGTCAGATTTTTTCACTGCATCGCTTATATTTACTCCTGCTTTTGCCACAGAACCAAGAGCTTGCGCTTCTGATGAAATGAGGGATTTGTTGTTTGAGACAAAGTTGGCCACTTTGGAGATGAGAGATAATAGCTCCTTCGAATTTTTTTTTGTTCGTGTTTTAAAATTAAAAACATCTTTTTTTAATGCGGTTATTTTATACTGTATTATTATAGTGAATCTTGTGTGGTTTGGGTAATTTATATGGAGAATGCTGAGCCTGTTATAATACATTTTTAGCAGTTGAGGAGTCTGTATAA